TACTACAATAAGTCTTTTGTTTCGTCGCCATTTATCTATCCTTCTATTTGTTTTAGGCGAATAAATTTGATCCCTAAGAACGGTCTAGGAAGTCGCAGATTGTAAAAGGTTTTGGGCAATGTCAGAGTCGTAGGAGTCGGTCTACATCTACGACTTTCTTGAACAGGCGGCTCTTAGATTATCGATACCATACCACACCCTAAACCGACCGAGCATTTCGCAAGATTTGATATTCTGTCCGTTCACACCGCCGGCTCGCTTCCCAACTCCTCCATATTCTATCACCATCTTAGCCATACTACTCGGCACTTTGCCTTTTCATCATCATACCATACCACTCAGCTAGATCTTGACGAAGGTTTCGCAAGATTTGGAGTCCAGTCCATCCCTACAGTGGCTTACTTCGCAGTCCATTCGCATTTCGCGACCGGTTTCACCCTCCTACCCTCATCACATTCTTCTATATTACTTGATTAATTCTCTGAGGGATCAGATTTTGCGTAAATATTTTTCTTTCCTATTCGATTCCTCTTGTTTAAAGGATGTGAATATTAGATTGCTTGCCTTTATCGTTCAAAAAACATTNTAGCCATACTACTCGGCACTTTGCCTTTTCATCATCATACCATACCACTCAGCTAGATCTTGGCGAAGGTTTCGCAAGATTTAGAGGCCAGTCCATCCCTACAGTGGCTTACTTCGCAGTTCATTCGCATTTCGCGACCGGTTTCACCCTCCTACCCTCATCACATTCTTCTAAATTACTTGATTAATTCTCTGAGGGATCAGATTTTGCGTAATTATTTTTCTTTCCTATTCGATTCCTCTTGTTTAACGGATGTGAATATTAGATTGCTTGCCTTTATCGTTCAAAAAACATTCTGATTGCTTTAGGCTGTTCTCGATTTTTTGGTGTGCGCCGTGCGAATTTTCGATTATTATATTCTTCACGTCTCTGCGAGTCAAAAGAATGAGTTTTTCATTTCAGCGTTTTTGCTAATATTGCTCATGATTTTATTTGTGAGTAACGCGTTTTTGATTACTCAAATATATTGCCTCTCATTATGTTACACTAGTTCGACCCGTTTTCCAGGTTGTCGAGCGGTGTCTTTTATGTATTCTGGCCGCCGTGAAATTTAACGGGTAAGTTGCTTGGCTTTTCAATGTAAATACTACAATTTGAAAGATGTCATTAGGGCTCGCCCTTTGAGAGCCTCTAGCGACTACTCACTGTTTTTTGTTTTTCTGAGGTTTTACACCTCTACTGTTAGTTTATTAACTTTATGGACTTAGATATTATTTCACTTTATCGACCTACTTGTTTTTTGAGGAAATATTGTTATCGCAGCTTAAGCCAGTGAGTTTTTTTGTGTACCCGATTCATCAATTATTTTGGGAAAATCTTTTATTTCTGTTTTGTTTTCTATTTTTGCGTTTATTTCGAGTGTTGGTTTCGAGGTTTTGCCTTCCGTTCCGTTTTATAACTAGTATTAAGTTTACTGTTTTTTGTTTCTATTGTTTGTTGGGCATACCATCTAAAGGAAACAATGTTGTAGATGGAGTTTGAGGAAGATTGGGTGTCAGAATTGTTCGGGTCGTCGTCAGCCGTTGGCCAGGAGCGCGTTGTAAAGGAGGAGGGCGAAGAGTACAGCGAAGTTGGTTACATAGGGCTCTGATAGTTGCAGGTGCTATAAAGGATTCATTCACTTACCATAAAGGATTCGTTTCACAGGGCGGAGCTGCAATTCCTTTCACGGAGGTGGAGGTTGAGTTCATACTAGAGAGGTATGTAGACAACTACGATGCCTACCATCACTCAGTCGTAGGGATGTAAAAGGAGGAGCGGTTGGTAGGCAATATTGTCACTA